CTAAAATAAACCCTATTTAATTCTTTGTATTAAATAGGGGAACTTGTCGGCAAATAAAACGGTTTCGCAGACCAAACGAATGTCATATATTTCTTAGTTTATTTGATCGAGTCTCATCCTCAAGTATTGTGTTTATCCCTTGGGATAGATACAGGATTTGAGGTAGAACGCTCTTTCATTTAAACTATGGAAAATGTGAGGTCAGTTTGATTTCATATTTTTCTAAAATTATATGTAAATTAAAACGTCCTTCCCAAGCGGGCGACGGGACTTCACTTCCAGCGACCGACAGCTTCTTACGGACAACTTTTGAACAAATCACCCATCAATTTTTAACTTCCCTTTTTCATTTTAACGCCGATAGAGATTAACGAGGATTCATTTGCATACATGTCGAGATGAGCTTTGTAATTTATTTTCTTATTACAGGGCTTTAACGAGTTCTTAAAATTTGTATATCTATGTTTTAATTTTTCCTTTTTCTATTATATCCTTGCTATAATTTCCTTCATTGACCATAAAAAATTTTCTTCGTCATTCACCACTTCAAGAAATTTAAGGCTTGGTTGCAACTTGTGTTAATTTTTAATTTGTATACTTACATAAACTATTCTTGGATTGTTGATTAGAGCGCGCGCATGTGTCTATGTATATTAGAGAGTGTGTGTCTATATATATATATATATATATATATATATGTATATTCATATATTAAGGCTTGGTTGCAACTTGTGTTAATTTTAAATTTGTATACTTGCATCAACTCTTCTTGGATGATTGATTAGAGCGTGTGTGCGTGTGTGCTCTCTCCTCTCGCTATATATATATATATATATATGAGTTTCAAATGACGGACGAGAGCTCTGCTAGGGTTTTGAGGGTTTCGAATGACAATTTTCATCGCGATTGATTCTGTCACTCTAAGGACACCCGTCTCTGTTGTAGACTCCACTTCCACTCACATTCTGCTTCATTGGCTCACGTCCTTCTTCGACGCCGAAGGTTCGTTCGTGTCTCTCAATTTCGACGATGTCGTGTTCGCGTCTGCGCCTTCGATTTCGATGACAATGTCTAGTTGGTCCAGCCGTTTGCGTCTGCACAGTTTCTCTGCTCGACAGCTTCGGTTCGAGTTTCTGTTTGACGTCGACGAGTTCGCATCTGCTCGAACTTGCGTCCCGTTTGTCAGTGGCAGTCGGCAAGCTGCGCCAGCTGTTCCTGTTGTGCTTGTGTGAAACACTCTAATGGCCTCAGGGCTTTCTACGCCGCTGCTCGCCGGTGATTATCCTGCCAAACCCTCCGATGCTACATTGGTTCACAAATGCAGTTCCTCTTTCTACCTTGAAGATAGTTTGATGTTCCCGCAGATGTACCATGATTCTATTACAGGACATGGAGATTGTAACCTCATCAAAAAAGTAGAAAAAAATGTAGATAAACCACACTATTCTTCTCTGACGCTGAAATTTTAACTCGTGTAGGAAAATACAACTTTTTACTAGTTGGAAAATTTCAATTAGGTCGCCTCAAGATGGAGATTATCAGGAAGATATTTGAAGATTTCAAACTAGTTGGCAGGTGGGTCTTTTCGACGGAAGACATGTTATGATACAGCTGAGCATAAATGAAGATTATACAAGGATTTTCTCAGAAGAAATTCATCACAATCATAGGAAATCATATGAAATTGCTCAAATGGACCACTGATTTTGATCCAAGTCAAGAACCCCCAATTGCGCCTATCTGGTTCTAATTACCTGAACTCAAACTTCAATTCTTTGACCTACCTATCTTATATGCAATTGAGACTATCCTTAGAAAATCTTTGCCGGTAGACACACCTATAGTTCATTTCTCAAGGCCCTCTATTGTAAGGATTTTGATTGAAAGGGATATTACACTACTAGATGTAAAAAAAGTTTGGTTTGGCTCTGCTTACAATGGTTTTTTACAAAAAATCATTATGGAACAAAAATCTTATTACTGCAAACACTGCAAGATGTTTGGACACCCGCAAGAGAATTGTTTCAGATTGCACTTACAGTTGAGAACCAATAATCAAAAGCAGAAACATGTTAGTGCACCCCACGTGCCTGAACCCGCTCCCTGACCCCGCTCCCAACAAACCTGATGACAGCCAACCTGAAGAGGGAAATACCACAAGATAGGAAATGGTGTATGCCTCTGGAAATCCTTCTCCTGACCATACTATAATGGATAATGTTCGGACTGAAAGTTAAGATAGCCCTGCAGCTTCTATTCAAAAAGCATCAGGTGCAGATGTGATAATTCACACTTCACATACACTTGAACCTATCGTTGTGGCAACGACTGCCTTTCATTCTACTGTGGTTCTAATATCTAATCAGACCGAGAATCACTTGAGCCAGTTTTCAGATGAAGAATGACAGGTTTACACTTCTCGGCGGAAGAAAAAGGCTGAGGGCGCACTCCAACTTGGAAACTTAATGGATAATACTTTGGTTACTCCTAACAATGACACGACACTTCAAAGTTTGTTATCTGGCTCTGCTCCTAAAACTAGAAGAAGTGGCAGGACTAAATTGGCTCGTCCCTAGCTACTTGTTTTCTGCATGTTTTAACTTTGTTGAGTCTATCTGTATCTTTTTGTTGGGGTAGTACTGTACTTGGTATCGTATAGGTAAGGGTGCCTTTATTGAGCCCTCTCATACAACCTCTATGTGCCTTTTCTATTCTCATAAAATTAAAAATAAACCCTTGGGCTTTTCATATATATATATATATATATATTTAAAAAAAGCCCAAGGGCAATTATATTATATAGATAGGTTGTATGAGTGAACCCAAATAGACACCCAACCCATACGGTACAACACACACAAAAAGAAAAAGAAGAAAATTAAAAACTTAAAAGTAAATGGTACATAAAAGATCATCCAGGTCGATCCAGTTTAGTTCTGCCTCTGCGTCTAGTTCTCGGAAAGGAACCGACTAACAGATTGGTGAGGTGTGTACCATTGCCCAAAGTAACCAGAGTATCATCCATTAGATTTCTTAGCTCAAGTGGATCTCCATTCTTCTTCTTC